TATTTTTTTGTTACAAGAACTTCCTTAGTTTAATGTAAATGTTATACTACGTATTTCCTCTCTTCCAACAAAATTTGTAAAAAACGTTATGTCAAGTTGACCAGATAAAGTGGGTATTTGGTAAATGACATTTGAGTCGAAAATGTGGGTTTGATCGCTTTTAGTGTTTTCAATAAATGAAAAAGGTATTTATAAATAGTTGTTCGGGACTAGTGTTTTTGGACGGAAACACTGAAATGGAAACGCTACAAATATGAGAGTTTTGGATTAGCGTTTTGAAATATGATGTTTTCTATTAATTTTATTTTCAAACAGTTAAATTACCAAACATATTTTGACAATCCGCTAGTCAAACCCTCTGACTGGACCCGCTATTGACAACGTGCTAACATCTATTAACAACTAAATGACAAACACGACCAAAATTCATTCATACCTAGCTACTACTGTACTACCTAATATTTAAGTTAGTATTAATTAATTAAACCAGAAACTCTATTAAATCGCAAACTTAGGAATCAAAACCAGAAAATCTATTACGGAGTAAATCGCAAACCTATCCAACTCTAAATGTAAAGGGAAGTTCATACTCGAAATTTAAAATAAAAATTTTGTTAATCTAAAGCATCTATGAAAATCATCATTTAAAAGGTAATTACCTCCTTGAGATTCAAATATGTGCCCGCGCACATGTAGAGATGCATTATACTCCGCAACATCTAGAGTTGAACAATAGTCAAAACTCAAACGTGGTCCTTATATTATTGACGGAATTGACCTATTAAAATACCAAATTATGAGATTAAGTTGGTGAAATGGCAGGATTTTTAGAAAATTGTTATTGATTGACATATATTATTTAATGAGATTATTTGTTACAATAATCCGGGATCAAAATATGAATCCAGATTATTTTAAGATTATTTGAAAAGTATATGTAATAGAGATTAATGCAGGACAGAGGAAACGCAGATTATTTGAAGATAATGATTGAGAGACGTAAACGAATTTTGAGATCATTTTAAAATTAATTGCATAACAATATTTAAATGGTAAGAATCATAGAAAAAATTGATTATTAGAGATCATGAATAGAGATGCTCTAAAGGGTTTCTCCTTGACACTACGATATTAAAGTTAAATTTCCAAAAAGTGATATATTGCTTTTATGTATAGTACAAAATGTGACTCAAAAAGTAATAAAATTGACAATTCATAAGGTCATTATCAACTCAGTGTGCCATTCGAGTTTTCCTTAACAATGTCAGCATATTATCTCACTCTTAGTGATAGTCGATGTCAAACCAAGCATTCCAGCTCAGTTGGTTGTGAGGTTACCGTGCCTAGTGGGAGGTCTTGAATTCGAAACCCGCTAGACACATAAAGGTTTGAAACTCAATGAAGTGAGTTTCGGCTCTAATTACTCCAAGCTCCCCCAGACCCCCCTCCTCCAGACCCCCTGAAGTAAAAACAAAAAAAAAACAAAAAAAAAATGATAGTCGATGTCATGTCACTCCAATGATGTCACCAGTATCATTGAGGTCGTGAAACATGTCATTGTTATTCTTGAAAAAAGCAATGACTTTTCATTGAAATTAAAGAAAAAAAAACTATCCGATGATTACATTAAAATGAATTTAACAAATTAAACAGGGTATAGACACAATTAAAAAAAATGATAACTACTCATATTTTTTTCTTTCAAAAGTGCAACGGTAATATTTTTTCCATTTTCCCACTTATAAGTCATAAAAATAGTTGCAATGAAAAATTACAAATATTAAATAATAATGTTAATAATGATAAAAATAAAAAAAATAAGTTTAAAGTTACTATCAAACTTAAGCATATTTTATTTTTACATTTTTTATTAATGCAATTGCATGGATACAAATGAATTGAACACGAGAGATTATAAATTGTACTATCGTACGTAATGTAATACTCCGTAATTAGTAAATCACTAGGAGTGATAACATGCAAAAATTCGAATCATATGTGACTCTCTTACATAGTGTACTCTAGGAATTTTATCATTCCAGGTAAATTATCAATCCGGGACCTAAAAGATGAAGGTGAATTCTATGGTACCCATAAGGTACCATACCTTTGTCCACATGGACAAATGAGAATGTAACAGTTGAATTATTTAAATCTAAATTAAAAATCATAAAGTGATGTGGTCCAATCAAATGAATGATAGGTACGGTACCCCATTTTTTAGGAGGGTACCGGAGTTGTCACCAAAGATGAAATTGATACATTTAATCTTTCAGGTCATGAATTGATAATTCATCTATCTTTCAGCTCCCAAATTGATAAAATTTCAAAACTAAAACATACTCCGTATTTTAATTACAAAGAGATTTAAACAATACTCCGTATTATAGTCACACGTCAACAATAGTAAAATGATGCGTTGTGATTACCAAAATGATAAAGTGTGAATATAATTAAAATGAATTATAACCACTCTATGATATATATATTACGGAGTAACAAATATAATATGAGCTAAATTTAATTGGATTTATGAAAAGGGTAAAATGAAACAAAAATATGAATACAAACATAATATGATACAACCGTATTTTCTATATACATTTCATAAATTACCGGAATGAAGATGAAAATCAATTTCTTTTGACTTCAAAAAACTTGTTGTTAGTTGTTATAAACACACCTACACATATATGGAGTATATGCGTGCGTGTGTGTAACTCAATGTATAAGCAAAAATCTATTTTGTAAAACATGGTTTACCGTGAGTAGGATTCACCTTTAATTTTTTATTATTGTAACAAAAACTTATACAGAGTTCATTAGCTAAATTGAAATTAACTTAATCGTTTTAGAACCGATGAAATTCTGACTGCTCATTTGACTGAATGTGGTAAGTTATGAAAAAAGTTAAATCTAAAATATACTTGTATTTATTAATAAAATAAAGAAAAAGTTACCTGGAAAGTAGTTTTTTTTAAACAGATAACTTAATTATTAATAAACTGAAGACCAGATACAAATTCGCCATAACAAAGGCTACACTGGGATGAGATTCAGAGCTGGATTCACGCTTACTAGCGGACCAACTCGCTAACCCCGTAATTTGGTAGACTCCATACACAGCAATGCTGCACCTGCTACTAGACGAGGAATGCAAAAACATAACAGAGTTCTGAACAAATGAAAAAACAGAAAGGGAACATAATCCAGTTTGTCCAGCCACTGGCAAGGAAACATCGGTTTTACCAGCCTCCGCTAAAGGAACACCCTTCTTAACCTCGCAATCTTCTGCTACTGGCGGTGCTGTCCGTCCAGCACCGCCACTTCCAAGTTTTTTGAAGAGTCTTCATCTACCTCCATGCTCGCCTATATCCCCATAGCCATTGTTTGAAAAAAGAAACATCACGAACGGGTTTATCTGACACCACTCCGGCCACCGCCGTTAGATTGAAGCCCTCCTTAATCCCACCCATATTCTCGGTCGGGTAGCCACAAGCACCAACCGCGGGACAAAACGCCCGGAGAAGGAGAAACTCGAACAAAAACGTCAAAAGCAGGACTTAAACAACCTGGCCGCTGAAGAACTAAGCCATCGCACCGTCGCAATCACCGATCTTTGTTGATCTGTCGCGCCGTCAAAGCCATCGCACTAAGGTTTTTCGCGTATCAGACTTGTCAAGGCTATTACCTGAAAAGTAGTTAAAATTCTTTACTTCAACTTCAGGCAATTCAGTATAAAAAAATATTAACTTTGCTTATTTTTATTACTCCCTTCGTCCTATTGGACTTTGCCAACTTTTCTTTTTTTGTTATCCCAAAAAAATTTGTCCCTTTCCTTTCAAAGTCTCATTGGACTTTGCTCATTCCTCTCCTCTCTGCACAAACCTCAATCCAATTTTTTACTTTTGTTATTTCTCACCTAATCGAAAGAGTGCAATGTTTATTGGGGCGGATGAAATATTACACAGTTCGGCGTATGAAACCAAAAGTTACATATTTGATAAAAGTTGATTTACAATCAACTTGAAAATAGAAGTTACTAAGCGGTTTCTAAAATTGAGCGATTCAACAAGTTTATAAAATTTGTGATTGAAGTGTTTATATTGACTCAATCTCGTGAATAATGATAAATTGATTATCACACAATTTAGTGCTTAAATGAATAGTTTAGTGTTGGTGATAAAAAAAGGTTGGTAATGCAAATAAGCCAAAAGATGAACTCCGTATTGATTTAGGGCATCCACATTGTTTACATTATTTAGAGTTTAATTGGATGATGTGTAAGATTATTTTAAAGATTATCATTGTGAGTGAGAGATTATTTAGAGAGATTAATGAAAAAGATAATCCGGTATCAAGATTTGAATCCCAGATTATTTTAGGTTGTAGTTAAATTTCATTTAATGCATGGTCTAGAAAAACAAAATTATTTGATTATCATGCGGTTGATGGAGAGTTTTAAGATTTGAGATTATTTCAAATTTATTTAATAAATATGATATGTCATAGAAAAACCATTTATTTTAAGATCATGAATGGAGATGCTCTTAGACTAAACTTTTAGGAAAATTCAGTTATATACAAATTGTACACAAAATCTCCTAATTGTCTGTGTAACAGAGGTTTAAAAAGGAGCAGAATTGATGTCAAATTATCTGTGCACACTTGGAATGTACACTCTTTTGTATATCTTGTGTGCACCAATAATTGTCCAAACTTTTATGTATTCGTTTGGTTCAGTACTTCAATATATGCATTTTAGTACTCGTATTAATTAGATCTGCTTAGTTTTGTTTAATTTAATCCGGTTTTTTTCGTTTAATCTGTTCATCAAGTCTAAATAGTGTAATAACACTTGATTAACTTATTTACCTTTGATGAAGCTTCAACTCGTTTGATCGCGTATAGAGCGTAAACATGAAAAGTTACGAAATATGCTGCACATATTCGGAGAGAATTGAAGGAAAAAAAAGAAAAATTGAAGAAAAAAATTGGGATGGAGCTGAACAACCAAGTGCAAAAGGGCCCTACGTAGCCTCCCATACGGCACACCAATACCTTGTTGATTACAACTCACCAGTGAGGACAGACAACCCACCTCTCTCTCTTTCACATGTGCAAGCTTGGCATTTCTTCATCCCTTCTTGCTGTCAGCTCCAAACAGATTTCTGGAAATCTGAGTATCATATCAGAAAACATGAATATCAAGCTCTGATTTGTCGCTCAGCCATTTCAGTTTTTCGCTAGGCCTTCTCACACCCTTCATCAAGAGCCCTAGGCTTCTAAGATGGATCCATATACCCTTCTTGATTATGCTTTGTTGAAGCTCACTCCTACTAGGACAAGGTATTTATTTACCCTGATCTATATGTGCCTGAAACTATATTCACTGATAGAACTGTCAAATTTTTAACTTTTATATCTTTTCTTGGATGTTAATTTCCGGGTTTGCTGGGAATTTGGAAAAGATGCGATCTTGTGGTAGTTTCTGGTGGAAAAAGTGAGAAATTGGCTTCTGGGTTGGTGGAACCTTTCGTTGCTCACTTGAAATTTGCGAAAGATCAGATTTCAAAGGGTGGGTATTCAATAACTATGCGCCCACCCTCCACTGCTCCGTCCTGGTTCACAAAATCCACATTTCAAAGGTATTATATTTGTCACAATCCTTGAGCTTTATGTTTCTTGGATGCTTGTTTATGGTAACCTTTTCAGTCCGGTTCTAGTTATTTTATCGGCACTTATGTTGTGTTTGGTTGGTAGAAGATTGATTTTTGTTCTACTAATTTATCTTTTTATCTTTTTATATTATAGATTATAGACTAGAAAGATGATATTTTAGTCAAATAATGTTTTTTTTATATAGAATTTTGATCTTCATTTTTTCGCAGCCATCTAAATGTAAAAGTTAACTTCTAAAATAAAAATATTTCCTCCCCATCCCTTCCCTATAAAATCCTCCAACCAAACAAGGGCTTAAAATCCAACGCCTATGAACTATAGCATTTTTGCAAGATGGTCCTAGTCAGCCCAATTGATGAATTTGTTATATGTTTCAATTTGTGGAAGATTTGTACGTTTTGTAAGCACACCCGAAATTCTTGAGAGGTTTATGCGGTTAGAGAAAGAGATTGTACAGATTGAGAGTTCCATTGATTCCAAGAGCCTCTCAATGTCAATATCAGAGGAAGGCATGTTCTCTGACTCCTAATGAATTGATAAGAAAAAAACTCAGTGTTTTCATTAGTTAGTTTTCGTATTCATAGTAGGATTGCTTCTTTATCCTTGCAGGGACACCACCACCAGCTGATGGAATCGCTACTAAGGAAAACTCTAAGTAAGTGTGACCTTACTTAAATTCACATGTTCAGTGATAATATATTCTTCAGCATGTAACTAATCTTTAAGAGTTTATTTAGAACTCAGAAAGTGCTAGGGAAAGAAAATAGAGATGAAATGAAAAATGAAGAATATAACATCAGTTGTATATTTTTTATGTTTATTTGAACTCGTTTTATTCATATATTTCCTGTTATATAGACTAAAAAAGGTAAACATATGTAAACTCTAAAAAAGTATATTTCGTTTTTTGAGGTAAAACCAAACTTTAAAAAACAACTTTCCCTGGCATTTTCCCCATTTCCCTTGCAAAATCCTGAGATCCAAACACAACCTGAAGTTATTTTATCATGATAGGTATCGCCTCCAATGTCTTATGGATACTCGTAAGGCATTGCTTAGGAAAGAGCAAGCGATGGCTTATGCTTGTGCCACAGTAGCAGGATTTGAAGTGGAGCAGATGGATGATCTCATATGCTTTGCTAATGCTTTTGGTGCCACCCGCCTAAGGTTTAAAGCTTTATTTTTGGCTTTTATCTCCTTGTTATTATAATGTTAAATATCACACATTTAAAGATTTAAGAGAGAGAGATGATTTTGTTAGGCATTAAGTTCTAGAGCAAGATTAGCTAATTGGCTGGATTCACTCATTTTAGTATGGTTTGTTGTTTGTTTATTATTGCACTCCCGTTGAATGACCCTAATCCAAATAGCAATGCAATTTTTTTATAGGGAGGCATGTGTTGATTTCATAGAACTTTACAAGCAAAAGCACACAGATTGTCAATGGATGGATGAGGTGATAGCAATGAAGGCATGCTCCCAACCGGAGCTGTCATATTTGGGGAATTCAGGGGTTGTATTAGCTTGTGAGAATGGGAATGGGTCACTTGTGCGTAGTTGCTCCTTGGATACTTCATCTGATTCAAAGGAAAGCCAACAGAACTTTGATAGTACTGGAGGTTCTTATTATTTATGCCCTTCTCTTCTTTCTTCAATTTTTATACCCTCATTATAGTGGGATCTGTCTTGATATAAAGGTGCTATGTCATGTTTGGTTATCTAATTTTCCATTTCCATCCACTGTAGTTCCCACAACTGTTCCAACAGTTGGTGCATTGTTGGCGGTCTTATCTTGATAAGATGACCCAAGGCCCCATGACGCACTGACCATTGCAACATTAGGGACCAACTTCAGTGGATCCGGTTGCTCCTGGCTTATAGCATCTTTTCTTCCCTCTTGAAAAATTGCTGAGATTAAATGCTACCTCAGACATGGATAATGCCTTGCATTTTCAAATAAATCACTCACATCCACTTTCATCTAGAAATTGGGGAAACATGGAATGCAGCAATACTCCATTTTGTCCCATATAAAGAGTCATCTTTGACCATAGTAATGTGAAGCCACTCACACTGGCCAAATATAAAGATTCGAAGTCATGCATAAGTTGTAGGGCTCCTCCTACTATTAGGTTGACCTTTTAGGATGACATTTATCTTATATCCCCGGCTACATATAAAGATATAAACTCACATACTCCCTCCGTCCCATAATGGTTGTCCACTTTCAATTTGGCACGATTATTAATAAAGTGGTTGAAAAGTAAAAGTTGTGGTTGAGATTTGAGTAGAATAAAGTGAATTAATAAGAACCACATATTTCATGCCAAAAAAGGAAACAAGACATTCATTTTGGGACAACCCAAAAAGGAAAGTAGGACAACCAAAATGGGACGGAGGGAGTAAGACTTTGAGCTTGATGTGGAACTATCCCATCACTTGGCCTCTTAGAAGGGGAACTGCACGTCTTAGGTACAAATTTTCTTTAGAGTAACTTATAAATTTGTAAACATTGGTTTGGCATTCCTCCTGATTTCCTGGCTCACACATTCAATTTAATATTAGCAGTATATAAATGGGGTTTAAACTTATTTTAAAAATATCTAGTGAGTGAAATTCTTGAAAAGTTATCTTCATTTGATCACATGAAACCTGTTTTTTTTCTTCCTGGAAAGCTTCTCAAATAGATTTTTTTTTTTTATAGATTTCAAGTTCCATACTTTATGTTCTCTTCTAAACTCTAATAAAAATTATTCACAGATAATAACATGGCACCACCAAATCAGACGCCAATATCAACAAAAATGCAGATGCAGATGCCATGGCCAAACCAAATTCCCCCTTACATGTACAACTTTCAGACCCCCATGCAACCAATGCATTTCCCTGTCGGTATGCATCATGTGCCTCCATACTATCCAGGCCATATGCAATGGCCTCAAACTGTTGATGATTCTCCAAACGGCACTAAACATCACCACAAGTCGTCAAGGAGAAAAAAGGAAAAAGTTTCTGATTCAGATGCTCGTGAAAAAAGTTCTGATTCGGATGATGAAGAAGTGAAATCAAGCAGTACTGGTTCTGAATCCGATTCGGATGAATCGAAAAAGCAAAGGCGACATGGTAGAAAGCACAAGAAGAAATCCTCTAAAACAGTCGTAATCCGTAATATAAATTACATCACCTCTAAGAATGGCAGATCTGATGACTCTTCGTCGGTTGAAGCCACCTCATCACTTGATGAGAGTTCTATAAAGCAACAGGTGGATGATGCAATATCACTTCTGGAACAAGGCCACACCAATAAAAAGACTCATAAACACAGCAGAAAAGGAAGAGAAGGGCATAATGGCGGTGTTGAGAACTGGGATGCCTTCCATAGCATTCTAATGAGTAGGGAAGACGAGGAAGAGAAGGAGAAGCAAAATGGTGTGTCGTTAATTGGCGAAGACGACTCAATGGTAAAAGGTTCCAACAGATTTGATTCTGAGAAAATTAATGGGAAACATAACTTGCCTTGTGATGATTCTGCTATTGTGACTGAAAGATACGGAGGAGGGCATAGTGGTGATGATTGGTTCGTTGTGAATACTAATAATTCTGGGACTTTAGAAAGAGAAGGGGCAAAGGATGCGATTTTTGAAAATGGCGACGTTGAAGCTAATAGTAGAACAGCTAATGCTGCGACTATTGATGATTCTTTCATAATACATGCTCGTTCAGTATCAAATGACCAGTGGAAAACAGACATTCACATGGATGGAGACCTCATTACTGATCAAGTTGTTTCCTCACCAGCCAACCTAGCTTCTAGCAATGAACCTAATGATCTGTGTGTAGTTGTTGCCCGGGATCCTAGTTCGGGACCAGCTGAGGGGTGTTGGATGCCAGGATTGGATTATGAGATCGAAGCTTCTTTTGTGGAGAGGCCTAATAAAAGCTCCCCTTGTATAGAAGAACCAAATGGTGGTCAGGCTGAAGAAAGTCCTGTTAAGGATACCAAGAAAAGCAGTAAAAAGGATTTAAGTCCTACAATAAAAAAACCCATGAAGGATAATACAAAGTCTAGGCTCTATCCGGCGTACCTCTCAAGGAACAAGGCTGACCCTGTGTCGAAAAGCAAGAAAATGTCTCCTACAAATAAGCTGGCAGTCCTTAAGACCAAACTAGAAAGGGTAACCAATAATACATCTCGGAATTGATTTTTATTTATATTTTCGAACCAAGTTTTAACTTTTAACTTGAATGTTTGGAAAAGAAATTTTCCTGTAATAGCATTTTTATTATATACTACCTCCGTCCCGGTGGACTTTGCCAAGTGCAAAGTAGGTGAGAAATAAGAATAGTAAAAACTGTGTGGTTGAGATTTGTGCAGAGGAAGAGAAATGTGCAGAACCACAAATTAGTTTCTTTAATAGGAAAGTGTCAAAGTTTTTTGGAACAATCAAAAAAGGAAAGTTGGCAAAGTCCAATGGGACGGAGGGAGTAAAATGAAAATATAGTATTATTAGCTTAGTAATTATTCAATAAAAGATGCTCCGTATTAGTTAAATATTTTTCTAATATAAATTAAAGTTCACTGTTTTAAATATTTTGCAGCTAAAAGTAAAAGCCTGTTTTTAATCTTTGTATTAATGTTCCTTTGGATGTTGTCATTCTAAACACAATGCCTTCAAGCAGGAGGAGGAGGCGCGGAAAAAGATGGAGGAGTTGGTGATTGAAAGACAGAAAAGAATTGCAGAAAGGACTTCTGCTAGTGGTCTTCGCACTTCAGGACCTAAAAAAGGCACAGCTGCCACTAAAACTGCTCCTGGTAAGCTGGAAAAGCCTAAGCTTCAGCCACTAAAGAGAGCATGAATCCATATCATAGCACACAATGTCAGAATGTAAAGACTGAAACTTTTTGAGGTATGGTTAGACATGTTCACAAAACAGACACCTTATGTTCCAGAATGCCATATACTTTTTATTGCAATGTAAAGTAATGAATGTAAATATATTCATTGAATAATACATATCCTATATCTACAAGGATAAGATACAGATATTTAGTTGTGTGATATGCGTCAAAGACTCTAATCTTTTCATGTTGCAGCCTGCAGGCTAGCTTGGCAGCGTGAATGTCATTCAATTGCTTGTTTATATAATGTGTGAAACATCTTTTATATTTATTGTACTTGTAGGAAAATGTATTCTTTTTCACCCTTCTTTGTAGTTGGTGTTTCTCTCCTTTTATACATTTTGAGAAATCTCGTTTTGATGGCATGTAATATTTATGCAGAATTACACTCCAATCTTTCAGAATTACAATTTCCTATCCCGGACTGGCTGGTCCTGGGGAGGGGAGTACAGGAACAATGACCGGGACCTTTATTTCCAGTCCTGGGCTTATTCCTGTCCCCAGCCTGTCCTGGTTCCGGTCTGGTCCGGTTTTTTTATTTATTATTTATTTCTTACCGTCCTATCAACCCATTTTCAGCTCTTAAATTGATTTACACCTCTTTTAAAATGTCTCTAACGCAGTAACGCTTGAAAAAATGCATCTAACCGGTTGGGGGCTGGTCTCGGTCCCAAAAATGGCAGCCTAGGACTGATCCTTGTGTAGTATGTGTACTTCCCTCGAAGCCGATCTCCTTACCGAACCACCTCTAGTGATTCTGGTCACAAGAACTAGCCAGTATGGTCCTGAAATCCGAATTAGTCCTGGGATCGGGTCCATCACTACCCAACAATATTTACTAAATATGAATAATTAAACTTCTAATAATTGACAAACAGCCCTAGAGCCGCGTTACCGCGTAGAAATCTTTTTTCAGTTCATGATTTTATACCAAGTACTCCGTAGTAACTAATCGTGGAAGCAAACAAGCGTCTCAAGAGAGTTTGGGCTCAATCTCGTTCTATAATCAGTTAGAAAGTTGCCGGTCGCACTAAATTCTTGTTCCACGACAACTGTTGATATCGGCATTGCTAGCACTTGCTTGACCATCTTTGATAAAATCAGGAACATTCTTTCTTTTTCCTTCCATCACTTTAGAACGTCAAAGTCATCCCCAACTTCATAATCAACAGGAAATGTTAGATATATCGCAAGCTCGTTAATTGAGTTTTGTTCATTAGCGGGAGTTGTTTTACTTTTTTTTCATAAGATTGTCAAATGCAGATTTAAAAAGCGATTTTCCTTTAAATGAAGAAGATGGTTGCGTCACGGAAGGGGGTGCATAACCATATTGTGCATAAAGTTCATTATATTATTAATGAAATAAATTATTTACCTCGTTGAATTCTTGTTTAGGGTCTATGGGATTATCGTCGAACTCTTGAGTTGGAAAAAAAGAAGCATAATAGTAATCTATACAATTTCCCAAATAAGCAAGTTTATAACGAGGATCAAGAATAAATGCAATATCATATATATGCGGAATATGTGAATAATATTTTAAAACTTTTCTTTCATGAAATCACAAAAATAACTAACGTAAGCGGCATCAGAAAATTCACAAAAAGCGCCGGTGAGATTAACAGCTTCAATAAAAAATTGGTTTGCGGTAGGTTGATAAACATGACTAAAAGTTTGAGTTGCATTGTTAAAAAATACCAAAACATTCACAATTTTTTCGCAAGTGTCGATGTCAGCCGGGTTTATAATATAGTTACAAGATTGTCTTAAAAAAGCAGGAAAATACTATTTATATCTAATAAGTACTTTAATTAAGTTATATGTATAATTCCAACGAATAGACAAATCTTTTGGAAAAGCACAATAATTGACACGTCTATCCTTCAAATATTGCCGTCATTGCATTTTTAGTGGAGTACTAGCCCAAATCATTTTAATTCCCCTCTTCACTACCTCCAAAGCATTTCCTAATTTGGCTAGCCCTTCTTGTACACAAAGATTTAAAATATGACATGCACAACATTGATGAAAAAATCTACTCATCAATGTAGAAGTACCACAATACCACACAGTTCACGCAATCTAGTTATAGCAGCAATATTATTAATAGTATTATCAAAACCTACAACAAACACCTTATCAATCAAATTATACTCAATTAAAATACGCTCAATGAGAAGATAAATATTATCAATAGTGTGTCGATCATTAAATTCACGAAAAGCAAGAACACGTTTATGCATATTCCAATCATCATCAATAAAATGTGCAGTCATACCCAAATAATATAAATGATGATAAGTATCCTCTCATATATCCCTACAAATACTAACACGTCCATTAAATTTTGCGAAAAATGTTTGTAATTTTTCTTTTTCCAAGTTATATCGGCGTATAACTTCTTTTTTAATCGTTTTGCGACTATAATTTCGAAATTGAAGATTTGAAATACCTTGAGCATAATCTCTTAAAACAGGACTTTGCGAAAAAATATAATGTAAATTTTCTTCAACAATTAAATGAGACATACCCGTCAAACGTTTTTTTTATCATCATATGAGAAATTACCAAATGGTTGAGAATTTGCAAACCTCGATATTTGTGTTTGCTTCCTCTTGCCTTTCGATATTTTTGCATACTCCACTAGGTGCACGGACTTAAGATACCTTGTGAGGCTCCTGTATCCGCCGGAAGTTCCCAAGCTATACTCCTTATTGCAATGATTGCAACTTGCATACCATTTCTTGGTTTTTTGTCTTTCCTCTTTGTAAAATTATTTTCTATAATAGGAGATTTAGATTTCTTACCAATTTGGGATGATCCACCCTCGTCCTCCAACTCTTCCTCATCATCCGGGGTGTCGTGACTGCCGTCGCCCCCCTCCCCTCCTCCTCCATGGTGTCTTGTTGATGGAAAAAACGTCCATCATTTTGGGACAATTAACTGGTTTAAATCTTCAAAAATTAAACGAGACAAGTATTAAATAACTAATAGGATAATGAGAAATGTAACAATTAACTACTTTAATACTTTAAACCAATTTTTTTAATCATCAAAACGGGCCTCTATTCAAATCAAAAGATTCGGGATCATTACATCAAGCAAAGGGAAAATAAAACTGACACCAACTGAAACTCTAACAACTACGACTGTAACCCTATGGTGAGACTTTGAGACGGTCACCCCTGAGAGAGCAACACGAATCGCTAACCATGTAGTGGGCTTGACACAGCCAAATCTGTTCCCATAGATTCAACCATACCCAATGACATAAAGAGAGGCAAAAAACTCAAACAAACTGAAAAAACCAACAATAAAAATGGACACAAGAAAACAAATAACAAACAGATAAAAACTACAAGAAAAACTTTCACAAACTCTAGCACCTCGAGCATCCCATGGTGGTGGTTCAGGAGGAGGTCGTATCACCAGTACCATGCTTATTGATCCTTCATGACCTTTGACTGTCAAATACCAAGCATCAATCCTCTGTCCCTGCATAACCAAACGCATCCCTGCTCCGTGCGACCAGAGTAAACGGATAGGCAGCGTCGATCTTCTCCAGCGACAACAGCCACGCCGCTTCCTCGAACCTTGATCACAACGCCGATCTCCTCGAGGCATGACAGCAAATCCGCCCTCCTCCACCGATCTCCGCCCTCCGCGTCTGACCTGGACTCCAGTCGAGCACCAGCGACCAAGGGAATACAAAGCCGATCTTCGACAAAGTCGAAATCGGAAAAAGACTCCAGCGGCCGACATAGTCGAAACCCTAGAGAGAAAACTCAATAATAACTTTCGAAACTCTAACTGCTCATTAGATTAATAACCATCTTTCTGAATAGATCTATGATGTTCGTTTTCGGATTGGTGGCAGAACGATGAAGTTCTTATTATAGATTTATTATTAGACCTGAGAAATGTAACTATTAACAAATTAACTAATAGGGAAATGAAAATGTAACAATTAACTAGTTTTATACTTTAATGATAAATGTAACAATTAACAAATTAACTAATAGGGAAATGAAAAATGTAACATTAACTAGTTTTATACTTTAATGATAAATGTAACAGTTAACAAATTAAACAATAGGGAAATGAAAAATGTAACAATTAACTAGTTTTATTCTTTAATGATAAATGTAACAATTAACAAATTAACTAATAGGGAAATGAAAAATGTAACAATTTACTAGGTTTATACTTTAATGATAAATGTAACTATTAATAAAAAATGTAAGTAATAGAAAAAATGTATGAATGTGTATAATAATTGGTGGGAGTGAGAGTGTATAAGTAAGTAGGATGAATTTAATTACTATGAATTCAAGTGTAACTAATATAATTGTATAAATAATATATAATATAATGTTTATAGTATATAATATATACGTATATTACTATAAGATGAGTAATACACTTATATTTAATACTTTAATATATATATATATATATATATATATAGAGAGAGAGAGAGAGAGAGAGAGCAGTTCACATCAGGAATTCCTGATGAGAACCCCCGTGCGGACAAGACCATCAGAGGGTCTTCCCGGTGGGATTTTTTGATGAAATGTTTTGAGCATGTTCCTCATCAAGTCTAGTTTGTCCATACCAAATTTCAGTTCAAAATTCCATCGGGAAGGCAGTCAAATAAATCCTGGAAAAATATGGTGCATTCTGCGCACATATAATGTGCAGTATGTTTCCAGGATTTATTTGACTGCCTTCCCGATGGAATTTTGAGCTGAAATTTGGTATGGACAAACTAGACTTGATGAGGAACATGCTCAAAAAATTTGATCAAAAAATTCCACCGGGAAGACCCTCTGATGGTCTTGTCCGCACGGAGCTTCTCTTCAGGAGCTCCTGATAGGAACGGGACTCTCTATATATATATATATATATATATAAGTATACATTAACTAAAAGTAATATGTAAATATAAGTAAATAACAATACGTATAGATAATAAGTAGATATCAAAGTAAATATTAAGAAGATAATAAGTATATATTAAGTAGATAATTAATATATAAGTAGATATAATAATAATAATAATTATATAATATATATATGTATATATATGTGTGTGTGTATATATATATGTAGTAATGTAGAGAGAATTGGAGAAGTTTTTTGTGTTCTTTTTTCTTTCTTGCATTGTACCCAACCAACTTTCTTTTATCTAATAAAATCTCTTTAAAAAAAATAAAGAGAGAGAGAGAATTGGAGAAGATGAAGATGAAGATGATCGAGTATTTGAGTATGAGAGAATAGAGAATAAGAGAGTATGATTGTATGAAGATGGTGTAAAAAATGTATAGAAAATAGGAGTATATAAAGGATTTTTTGGTATCCCCCACCCCTCCTAGGCCTCCAACTAGGGGTGGGCAAACGGGTCTTGGAACCGCGGTCCGGTCCGGGTAATGGCGGTTCGGGTCCAAAACGGGCCGGTTCCATTTTTTGTTGCCATAAAACGGTCCGGGTAGGGTCGGGTAATTTTTTTTAAGGAACCGGACCGGTTCCAAAATTAAAAAATAACGGGTACCCGGACCGGCCCGTTATATATATTGTATATTAATTTATTAATAGTTTTGTGATAATCGGTTTTAAAATAGTTTTCTTTCCTTTGCTAGAAATAGGATTTTAAATTGAGTTGGAGTAACATCCTTTTGTTTTCAAATTATTGATTAAATGTTTCATAAATATCTTTTTACTTTTTATTGTTATTGAATTATTCCTTTCTATGGAATTTAATTATTTGTTAAAGATGATTTTGTTATATTTTTTTATTATATTGTTATTAAAATATATAAATTGTGTTTACCACCCACCATGTATGTGTCAACTTTGGCTAATACTGAAAATTTAATATAAAAAAAAGCAATCACTATAATATGTGATGTTAGACAACATGTTTAAATACAAATGTTAGAAAATATGTAAATTGGCTATGTTGCATATTTTTGGAATTTCTTTAATTGTTTGAAACTTATATACAAGAAATTATGGAGTATTATTGGACTTTTCGCTTGTGTTATATGTGCACCACTATGTTGTTATTTTCAAACTAGCTAATGTCCCATATTTATGTTATTGATTATTGATTTTTGGAACTTCGTGAGTTTTTACTAATTTCAAGACATGAGAATAGAAACCGTAAAACTCGGACCGGACCGACCCGTTTCAAACGGGCCGGGTAATTTCCGGTTCCTGTTTTGAAAATTGTAATACCCGGACCGGACCGAACCGTACAATGGAACCGGCGGTTCCATTTTATTTTGCATTACCCGCCCCGACCCGGCCCGTGCCCAGCCCTACCTCCAACGGCTATATAGCCGTTTGGGAATAGTCCCAACGGCTAGGAGGGGCTGAATAATTATTATTTTTCCGTTATTGCCCGGACCGGGCCCGGCCCGGTCGGTTCGTCATTTCTAAGGCCCGAGCCCGCACCGCTATATGCCGGGGTCGGGTGGCCCGAACCGGCACCCAGACCGGTTCCCGGGTCGGGTACAAACAGTACCGGTCCGGGCCGGTTGGCCCGGCCCGAGTCCACCACTACTCCGTACTAAATTTCATTCTAACCGCTAAATAATACTCCCTCCGTCCCAAAAACAACTTCCCACTTTCCTTAAATGGATGTCCCAAAATTAACTTCACACTTCAATACTTTACTTATTTGGCAAATTATCTACATCAAAAAAGTGATAAACAGTGTCAAACAGTGTTTAAACAGTGCCAAACAGTGTTTAAACAGTGCAGAACAGTGCACTCTACAGTAAAGTCAAATTTATTTTCTAAAAGTGTGTGAAAGTCAAACCGGGAGGTTGTTTTCGGGACGGAGGGAGTAGTAAGATTGGATTATTTTTTTGGTTGAATTTGTTGAAGAAAATTCTCATTTTCATATTTTATTTTTTTATCAATAGTGTATGCCCTATTTTTTGTAATTCCGCTAATTCAGTCAACTTTAATATTACTAAACAATCGGCCCAGCCTCATTATTACCTTTGTATTAAACTCTCTTATGTTCGCTAATAAGTTCAACAATCGTTTCTCATCTCTTCAAAGCTCTTTTGGGATGAGTAAGTTTGACTCTGTTTTTTTTAAAAAGGCCAATATTATCATCAACAAATAAGTGCGTATTTGTAAGAGTTGTTTGAGAGAAGTGATCAAACATACTGATTTAAAAAAAATGTTTTATGAGAATTCATTTGAGATCAATAAATTAAAGGCACAATGGATTAGTGCTATGAAATTAGGCCTAAAACATGCATAATTTCTGATTAGTTGACATGAATTTACAAAGGTACCAAGTGCAAAATAGTTCAAAGCAGGATCAATGTGATAGTCGATTACGCCATTCACGTAAATACAAGTTCTACCATGATTGTCATACGCTAGATGAACAACACATTGGTTCCGTTTGAGTTGATAGTATTTCTTTTGAACCTTAATCAATCGAATCAATGCGAAGTCGAGAAAACACGATTAAAATTAAAATCGAACCAAACAAAAAAAATTCAATAAAATCTTAAAATAGTATAAAAAAGTAACACACTCAAACTGAAATAAATCAAACCGAACCAAACTTTTTTCTAGGAAAAACTTTGTCCAAACAACTAATTAACCAAACAACTTTTTTACTTTCCGCTAACTTAATCAGCCGATCAAAACGTCAAACCAATCCGCCGGTCAAAATCGCTAACACAACCCGCTAATAGCTAACCGCTGCCCGCTGATTATCAAACAAGCCCAAAATCTAGAGTATTTTTTTATTTTTTATTTTTTTTTATTTTCTTTTTTCTAGAGTAATTTTTATTTGGTACTTATTCTTCCATTTCGTTTCAAACCGAACAGAATAGAAAACCTATAAAAAATGATCCTAAACCGATATGGCCATTTCTAAATAAGAGTAAAAGTGTTTACATCATGACATTTCTAATATGACTTGAAAAACGCCCTAATCTCAAATTTTAATTTGTTGAATACTTTGAGTTTCATTCTCTTTTTAATTGTTGGAACAAAGTTTTAGTATATAAAACTTCTTCGATCACAAATAGTGTTTTATAATGAGATTATAAAGATATAATTTTTTAAATAACAAGTGTAACCAGGTGTCAAGGACTCCAGGTGCCCCCATGTGCAACCATAAAATTTGAATCGTTAGATCAAAATAGCTTTGTGGTTTGTCTTTAAACACGAAAAGTTTCAAAAACATTTTATCATCAACAAAAATAAATTAATGCTCATTATTTACATTACCAAATCCACCTCTTTCTCTCTCTTTGGGTGACGAGGGAGAAACGAGGTATCCATGTATGTTTTCAAGAGCCAAATCTAGAAGAAAACAAGATTAGACATTATTGGGTTGCATCTATGTTATGGAAGAATCTTCGTTCCATTTAATTGTTTCAAAACAATTTCCTTCGACTTTGTTGAATTTTCTCCAACATTGCCATAACAAAATTACTCCATCCAAAATGTTCTTCACTATGGTTTTAATCCTTAGCTTTTCATCAATTCTATGTTTGTTGCGCCTTCATCAAGGTTTGAGTTGCATGAATAATCAAAGAAAGGTGATGGCACAGAAGAAGTCAAACAATTATCTTGAGTATATCGTCTTGCAAATTCGTGTTTGGCTATACAAATTTTTCTTGGGTCTAGATATGGCAATTGGGACATGCATTGGTGTTTCCCCTTTCTCCTTCCGCCGGAGAAAATTTTCTGCATTAATCGAGGTATTTATTTTTTACACGACTAATATTTCATAAAAATTACATACTTACGCAAAATGGTCGTAAAATGGTCGTAATATAATGTCTCTAAAAACATGTGACATTATGTAGCATTGAAATCAACTATATAATCACATTAGTAGCTTGGGCCATATGAACAATACATTTATGTCTAGTTTCTAAGTTCTTTTTTACCCGGAGATTTCAGAAGGGAAATACAACAAGACAAGGTGATGTAATATCTAGTTTAGTATAAGTTAAAACATGCTTTTATTTTCTACTCTAAGAGTCCATTGGGTAACATTGAAATTGGCTGGATCAGCAGATTCTACTTAAATTTATGAAGTTCTGATTGAAGTGACTAATCAGCTGATTCTGCTGACTTATGAAAAAATTATATTTAAAATATTTTTTATGAATAAAAAAAAGAAAAAATTATATGAAACAATATCTTAAAAATAACTCGGATCTTATTTTTTCTTATTATTACACAATTCAGTGCGTAAAATTAAAAGTTGCGTGTTTGGTGAAAATTTTGCCTGATAAACCTGATAAGCTGAAAAACATGATCCCCAAACGGACCGTAAGACTAAAAAATAGATATACATTGTTTAAAAAAACAAATGTCTCCTCCTTGCCACTCTCCAACAAAACCCCGTTATTTAAAGTCTTAAAGAAATCATAATTAAGAGACCGTAAGTTTTACCATATAAGTGTGACTATAAGTCTGTGACACACTTTAACAGGAAAAAGAAATGTTGGAGGAAAACAACAAAATTGATAATCAAGTTATTAAACCCAATATTGATGAGGAAACTACAGATGATACAACATCGAATGATGGTAAGAAATTTAATGGTTTCATGGAGAGGAAGCTATGTCAGTTGCCAAAAGAATTCATGGTACTAACAGAGATAAGGAACAAGACTCTCATCATGAGGGACCTACTCGATTTGTCTCCTTGCAATGGTTCTACATCTCTACATGATTTGTTGATATTGACTTTGAAGGATCTAAGTATGCTCTATCCATCCGCCAAACAAATTGAAATGGATGAAATAGAAGAATTAACCATGGATCAGGTATTCTTACATTTACAATAATGTTATAGAGTTCAGGATGACTTGTATTCATAGACTTGGTGCTTTTTAGTGGATGAAAAGAACTTTTACTTCACAAATTTGTATTTCACTTTGACATGAAAAGGATGCTTTTAACAATAACAAACACTCCAAATACATGCTCCGTACAATATACTAGAATTAAAAAAAAAGTGCTTCAAAAACTGCTTAACTGAAAAAGCACTTATGATAAAATCAAACCACTTACTACGGTATAAGTTATCCTAAACATGCTCCAAGAAAAAATTCCTATGCATTTTTCTAAATGACTGTGGTGGTTATAGGTACTTAAGTCCTTCTGCAATGGTATGAAATCAATTGCTAATACATGGACAGGAAATGATGAATGGATGATCAAATGCAATGTTGATATGTTCAACCTTGAGACCAACAATTTGGAACTCTATGGTATGATATTGTTAATGTACTAACATATTTATATTATTTTTCAAACAAATTGTCAATCTTGAGCATGATGAGATTTGGACCAGTGACTTTCCATTCAAAAGACCAGATAATAGCGATTTCATCATACTACAAGATATTCTACACATGTTTTTAGTGAAAAGAAAGTTTATTTGAATTTCTTGTAGCACTTGCAATGCTTGAAGACATGATCAAGCTTACCGGTGAAAGGATGTTTGCCGAAGAAGAGGAGATGGTTGATAGTCCAAATTCTTTTAGTAGGCTTTTGTTTGAGCCTTCTTCTCCATTGACCCCAACTTCTGTCCTTCCTGAAGTGTGCAATACTACACATAAACGAATTGGGAGACTTAACCCCATTGATAATCAACACCTCACATTCAATATGTCTCCACATACAGTGGTTCAAGATTCCAAGTATATGGTCCATATAACAAATACATCCAAAACATTAAAGAAAGAAGACTTCCAAGTAAAAATTGACGAAGATGATATGCTATACTCACCTAAGGATGTAATTGCAAAAATGGAAGCCGGTAGAGAAGAAAGTTTTAAGAAAAATCAGATTGATGGTTCTATTGTTCAATTGATTCCTACTTGTATCACTATGGATATGGTTTTACAAACACCTTCACTCACAAAGCTTAGACGAAATGCACAAAAAGAAGAATTGACATTTACTATATCATTCAATGGAGTAAAACCACAAACATCAATGTCTACATCATCAATGTCAAACTTTTCATCAAATCTTAAGCCAACACAATCACCTCCACCGCCACCGTCTCCTCTTCCGATAATAACAAAGCATGTTTCGCTTCCTCAAACTCTCCCTCCACCTCCACCCCCACCACCCCCACCACAACAAACATCAATAATAAAATCTACAAATATAACAAGTCCACCCCCACCACTACCACTTCCCATTAGACCAAACAATATGACATTATCTCCACCTCTAATGCAAGCTACAAGAAACCTTCCTCCCCCTACTCCACCACCACCACCACCCATGATATCGTGTAATTTGGTATCTGTTTCCCCTCCACCACCACCACCACCCATGATATCGTGTAATTTTCTATGTGTTTCCCCTCCTCCACCTCCTTCCCCTCTTCCGTATCCTAACGTAAGAGACACAATACAACAATCTCATTCGACAGTTAGTTCAAATGGTGTAATGTCAGTACCACCTCCCCCAATTCCCATGGGAAAAGGAGTTTTAGGTCCACCACCTCCTCCTCCCTTGATTGGTACTAAGAGTCCTCACGCCAAGAAAGGTTCTAAGTTGAAGCGTTCCTCACAAATGGGTAACCTTTATCGATTTCTCAAGGTAAAAGTGGAGGGCTCAAATTTGGAAACTAAGTTGGGGAGAAAGGGAAAAATAAGTTCTTCTTCAGGAGGCAAACAAGGAATGACCGATGCACTAGTAGAGATGACAAAAAGGTAACACTCAAACTGCCCCTTAAAAATCCTTCTACAAGTTGCCTCACTTCAAGTATCCAATTACATCACTCTTATCCATAACAGTTTTTTTTACATTGGTTCAGGTCAACCTATTTCCAACAAATTGAAGAGGATGTTAAAAAGCATGCAACTGAAATTAAGGAGATGACAATGGCAATCACAAATTTCCAAACATCAGACATGACCGAACTAATCCAGTTTCATAAACACGTTGAATCACACCTTGAAAAATTAACAGATGAATCTCAGGTCCAGTCATAAACAATTACTCTTCAATTGCCTACACAACTTCAAAATCTTGAATGACTTGGTGGTTTTAATTCTTCTTGATACCTAGGTGCTAGCAAGATTTGAGGATTTTCCAACAAAGAAGTTGGAGGCATTGAGAATGGCAGCAACACTCTATAACAAGCTAGATGTTATAGCTTGCACCTTAAAAAAATGGCCAAAGGAATCACCAGTGAGCCAGCTTCTTGACAAATCTGAGAGTTACATCAACAAAGTACGCTCAACTCATGCAAAAAATAAATAAAGATCCACATTTGTGTATAACTTGGGCTAATATCCCTCAAGTACTTCTTTCCATAATTATTTTTTTAAATATGACTTGCCTATAGAAAAAATGTAAAACGTCATTTTAAAATTTCCTCTAAAAATCCTTTCTTTATAAGGTTGAGAAAGCCATAACATTTTGTATACCAGTGTCACTAAAAGTTTTGCATAAAATTACGTATTGGTACAAATATGAGATAACAAATTGAAACTATAAATTCATTTCTGCGAGCCCATTATTATTGTTTCAATTAAGGTTATTATGACTATGATCTATTTCAAGTTTTCTGTTTTTTGGGCTAGATCAAAGGAGATCTTGAGAAGATAGAGCAATCTAAGGACGAAGAAGAGAAGAAATATGCAAGTCACAAGATAAACTTTGATTTTTCAATCCTTGTACGTATCAAAGAGTTTATGGTAGACGTCTCCTCAAACTGTATGGAGTTGGCACTAAAGGTTAGTTCATCAAAACAACTTATACACCAAGCTATAAGCATATTATACTAATAAAACATTAGTAATTAGTTATCAAACAAGAGAACACAAATTTAGATATTATTTTCTTATTCTTTCAGGAGTGGAGAGATTCAAATGCAAGGGAGAAAAAATGTGATGAGGTATCAAACAACAGGCAGAAAAATGGAACACCTGGTAAAATTCTATGGAAGGCTTTCCAATTCGCATACAGAATTTACACCTTTTGCGGGGGATTGGATGACCGTGCTGTAAACATAACTCAAACATATGAAAAATGTAATATAATCTCATGTTTTATGAAATTTAAATTGAAATAAATAAATAGAATGTAATTAAACACTTAAAACATATAAAAGAGAATTTTTTTTTGCAAAGAGATGAAAAATATATTATAGATAAAAGTGTATGATATGAAAAATATTTTACAAAAAAGTATATAAATGTGAAAAAATATTACACAAAAAAGTTCACTAGTAGTAATTTCCGTTGTAGAAAAAAAGTTAAAAACTATTGTATGATTATTAATGCAATATACTTACTTTATGTGGATTGATAAAATTTTATATTAAATTCGTAAAGAATAAAGTTAGTTTAGTTGTAATTTAATTAGTTAAAAGTAAAGATAAATAAAATCACAATTAAATACTCCGTATTTAGTATTTTGATGGAGAGGAGAAAATAATATAATTGAAGAAAATAAAAAAAGCTAGAAACATGAAGAGAAAGAAATAACAAAGCTGGAGGGCTTGAGGGAAAGAAAAGAGAACTTACTAGTGGTTTTAGGAAAAGAAAGAGAACATGTGCAAATGGAATAGCCGGTTCATGCACATGGTATACCAGTACCACAATGAAACATGTACCACCATGATTTGAAGTTTAATTTAAGTACATGCATCAAACATGTTGTAACCAAATGAAATAGCCGGTTCGCATGTTATTTGCTTTTTTCTTCACTAAAAAATAAAACTTATATTTTGAAAAGGATAGAGCATTTATTAATCATAGTATTTTTATTATCAACTTCGTCCAAAAAAACTTTGTCATTTTCAGAAATTTGACCAATTATATATTTTTATTGAATGTTATTTATAATATAAAAATTGAAAATGTTTTTTGTTAAAACCACTTTCATAAAAGTATAAAATGTATGACTTCCATAATACGATAGTATTACTTATCAAAATCATGGTTCGAATTTTTTGAAATGACATAGTTTTTTGGGACGGAGGTAATACTATTTTTATTGTTATTTTTTTAACAGTCATTACTTTTATAGAGTAAAAGGTGAAATAATCTTTACTCTATAATAGTAATGGCAGTTAAAAGACTATGTCATTTCAAAAAAATTGATCCATGATTTTGATAAGTACTCCCTCCGGTTCAGAATGTTGTTTACACTTTGACTTCACACGTTTTAAGAAAATAAATTTGACTTTACTATAGAGTACACTGTTTGGTACTGTTTGGACACTTTTGGCACCATTTGGACACTGTTTGGCACTGTTTGGACACTGTTTGGACACTGTTTGGCACTGTTTTATGTAGATTTGTTTGCCAAATAAGACAAATAAGGAAGTGTAAAGAAGAATGTGGTACTGACAAAAAAGGAAAGTGCAAAGAAGAATGTGAACTGGAGGGAGTATAATATTATAGAAGCTATACATTTTATCATATGAAGATCGGTGTATAGTACGGAGTATATTGTACGGAGTATTAAAAAAGGGCTCAGAGCTTGGGGCCCAGCCTAAAAATAAGAGTCAATTCCCTAAATATTACTAAAAAGTGGCAAAATTGTACAAATATGGCTATTTATGTGTGTTTGGAAAAATATACTCTTGTAACTTTTAAAATGTCTTATATAATAAAATCATAAAAAATAGTAAAACACACAAAAAATAAAAAAATAAAAAGTGGAAAAATAATAACAAAACTTATAAATATTTATAAAATACAAAAATTAAAATTTTTAATTAAAAAAAAATAAAACGTAAAAAAACGCCGCCACCTCTACCACCCCCAGCACAACAATATCCCATCACCGGAGAAAATCTGTCAATTAATATTTTAAATAATGTCATAATAATGCTGATTCAATGGAAATGTTGGCATAATGAAGAGTAATTTTTCAATTTTCTTGGCATTTTCTGAAAAAGATGGCACTTTTTTTTATTACAAAAAGTGGCAGAATTTCACCGATCGGAGGTGGTGGTGTTGGGAGGCGGTGGGAAAGGTATCCACATTTTTTTTATATTTGTTTTTGGGGTTTTACTATTTTATTATATTTTTATAAAAAAATTTAAAAAATATTTTTGTTTTAAATTTTTTATTTTTTAAATATTTTATTACGGAGTAATTTTTATGGAGTATTTTTTTGTACGATTCTTTATTATTATTTTTATTTTTTATGATCTAAAACATTTCGTATTGAATTAATACCCTTAGGGGTATTTAGGATAGAAAATCAATATTTAATTCTATTTGGGGAATTTAAAAAATAGTAGTCCTATTTATGCTTTTTAGGGACAATAAATATAAGAGTGTACGGAGAGTTCTCTCGGCTCTTTCTCTCTCTCTAGGGTGGATTTCCACCACTCGAGTTTTTTCTCCGCTATTGTTTGTAATGAGGAGCGGCCGCCGCAGGCAGGCTTAGACGTATAGGGTTTCTTCTTCCGCCATCAATTGTGTGACTATTTTTCTTCCTTGGCTTTGGCAAGATTAAGCGGGGGGGTAGAATGATTGGTCTCCGGTGACCGAAGATTGTGCAGGGACGGAAGATGGATGCTTGGTCTCCGGTGGCCAAATATCATGGACAAAGTGTGGGGCTAGAGACTGGAACAGATTTGGATTTGAGGATGAATGAGAGGCAAGATGAGGAAGAAACTACAGCACTAGAAACTACTGCTGGATCACCCCCCTCCTGAACCGCGACCAGGAGTGGAAGAGAGTCTAGAGTTTGGAAACATCTTTTTAATTTTATTGTTTGCTTGCGATTTATTTTTCATGATCAGAATGCATATTTTTCTGTTGGTTACTTTTATTATTGTAAGACATAACCTTCGTTGGCTCATTTATGCCCATTATATGATCAACGAGTTATATTGCTTTTTTGGATGACGATTGTCTATGATTCTTTTGTAGTTTAACTCCATCTCAGAATGTTAATGTTGTGATATCAATTTAAGCTCCGTTCTTCACAAAAACAAAAACAAAGGGACAACCTATGTTGTAAGAACCGGACCAGACCGGGCGGGTCGACCCGGAACCCGGTCACCCGGAGCCCAAACCAATCCGGTTGAACCCCAACCCGCAAATGTGGACTGACGCCAACCCAAGAAGCTGCCTTGGAATGTTGTTACAATGTGTTACTTAACCGTATTTAATACTCCCTCCATCCCGCTGGAATGTTTCCGTTCACTTTTCATTGGTCAACTTAGGTCACTCCTAATCTTTTACTTTATATATCAATTTTTTATCAAATTGAACTTTTTTGGATCAGGCTTTGTAGCGGTTTTAATGTAGTTTCTGAATATGTAAATTTTATTTACTAAAAATAAGCGGAGTGTGAACAGAGATCGAGTTGCTTTATCATCAGTCAAGTGAAAGAGAATAAGAGATTGATGAGAAGAAAGAAAAGCAGACTGTTTATTCAAATACAAAACACAGTACTTATAGTTCAGGCTTAACAGAATGATTAGACCAACCCAAAGATAACAAACTGAACAACTCGGTCAACAACCTGGCTAACTAATCAACTATTGAATTAAAGGCTTTTATTTAACACTCCCCCATAATTCAATAGTTTGAGCATACAACATTCAACAATCCTCTAATCATTCTGAATCTATCTATTCTAAGAGATTTTGTCAAAATATTAGCCACTTGAACTTCAATTTTGCAGTACTTCAAAATAATCCTTTCCTTGCGAACTTGTTCTCTCAAAAATGATATTTTGTCTCTATATGTTTGCTCCGTCCATGAGCAACTGGGTTCTTTGCCAAGTTGATAGCTGATTTGTTATCAACATTCAGCTCAACTTTACTTCTCAACCCAATCTTCAGTTCATCCAACAAGGATATCAGCCATAAGGCTTGATAAGCAGCATGACAGGCTGAAATGCATTCAGCCTCACAAGTAGATAGAGCAATGACCTCTTGCTTCTTTGAGCACCAGGATATAGGAGTACCTGAAAGTAAAAATACATACCCCATAGTACTTTTCCTTTCAAGTAAGCCCCCACACCAATCTGAATAACCAGTTAATTGAGGAGATACTTCAGCAGCTGGTTTTAGAGAGTAAAATTCCATAATCAGTAGTATTACTAAGATATCTCACAATTCTCTTTGCTACAACCAAATGAGACTTCTTTGGATTGCTCATAAATATGCTCACAAGCCCAACAACATATGAGATTTCAGGCCTGGTATGTCAAATAAACCTCAAGCAACCAACCATTTATCTGAACAAACTAGCATCAACAGTAGATTCATGTTCACATAAGTCCAACTTCAAGTTAGCTTCTGCAGGTGTCTGAGCTCGATTACAACTTAGCATCTCAAACTTTCTCAGAACATCAAATATGTACTTTTTCTGATGCATGAGTATTCCATGATCAGTCTCTAGGAACTCTATTCCCAGAAAATATGACAACCTTCCAAGATCTGTCATCTCAAAATTTGTCTTCAGACTAACCTTGATTTCCTCAATGCCACTATCCCAACTACTTGTTAGAAGCAGATCATCAACATACAAACATATAACAAGTGTCTGACCATTAGCTAAATGTTTAACATATAAGCCATGCTCAGTAATGCACTTCTTGAACCCAGTCTGCACAAGAAAGGCATCTATCCTTCTATTCCATGCCCTTGGAGCCTGCCTCAATCCATACAAGGTTTTCTTAAGCCTGTATACCATATCTTCTTTCCCCTTTTTACAGAAACCTGGAGGTTGCTTTACATACACTTCCTCTTCTAGAGGGCCATTTAGGAAAGCTGACTTTACATCTAACTCCCACAACTTCCAACTCTTCAGATTAGCAAGAGTAACTATCATCCTAATAGTTTCAAGCCTAGCAACTGGTGCAAAAACCTCAGAGAAATCCTCACCTTCTCTCTGCATAAAGCCTTTGGCTACCAGTCTAGCCTTATGCTTAGCTATTGAACCATCAGGATGTAGTTTGGTCTTGAACACCCATTTTACTGCAATAGGAGCTTTATTAGCTGGTAAAACAGCTAATTCCCACGTCTGATTCTTCTCTATAGACCTCAATTCTTCCTCCATTGCTTCCTTCCAGACTTGACTATTCATGGCTTCATCAAAATCCACAGGTTGCATATCAGCCAACAATGTTATATGTTGTACCAATTCTCCTTCATTATCAATTGCATCATCAGTTATCAAATGATAGTCATGTAGCCTGGTTGGAATTGTTCTTGTTCTAGAAGATCTCCTTGGATACTCACTCTCAGTGTCAGCAGTCAATTCAGAGGTATCACATGGTTCATTGATGTCCAAATCAAATGAAACCACCAATTTAGGTTCAGAAGTAACACTTCCTTCATTCCAGGTGTTGGCTTCTAGAAAATACACATCTCTGCTGAACAATACTTCATTTGTTTTGGGGTTATACAGTTTATAAGCTCCAGTGGGATGATAACCTATGAAAATCATAGGTTCACTCCTATCATCCTACTTCGTTCTTCTTTGTTCAGGTATATGCTTATAACAAAGTGATCCAAACACTTTGAAATGTCTGATAGAAGGCTTCTTACCAGACCAAACTTCTTCAGGTACTTTAAACTGCAAAGCCTTTGTAGGACAATGATTCAGAATATAAGTTGCAGTCATTGCAGCCTCACCCCACAAGCCACGAGGTAGATTCTTTTGCTTCAGCATGCATCTTACCATGTTCAAGATTGTCCCGTTTCTCCTTTCTGCAATCCCATTGTGCTGAGGTGTATAAGGGGCAGTCACCTCATGCACAATCCCATTGGTTTTGCAGAAATTTTCAAATTCTTTAGAGCAGAATTCTCCTCCACCATCAGTCCTGAGGATCTTAATTGATTTTTTTGAGTGTTTTTCAACTAAGCACTTGAAAGTTTTAAACACATCAAACACTTCACTCTTCAGTTTGATCAAATACAGCCATATCTTTCTGCTCCATTCATCAACAAAGGTCACAAAATACTTATTTCCTCTTAGAGTTGGTATTTCTAAGGGTCCACACACATCCGAATACACTACATGAAGCACACATGTAGCTCTAGAGAATACCATGCTACCAAAAGATGACCTAGGTTGTTTGCTGACTAAGCATCCATCACAGACTTTCTTTGATAAACTGATCTGAGGCAGTCCATGCACCATCTCATGTGACTTCATGAGACTAAGATCCTTGAAATTCAAATGTCCCAGCCTCAAGTGCCATAACCAAGTATCATCAAGCAGTATCTGAGCATTAAGACATTGTGATTTGACGTGCACTTTGTCGTAGTGTGCACTCAAAATAATAATACAATACAACACTTATACGTAGTATAGCGTAGTAAGGTTCGTATCCACAGGGAAAGGAATACTTTTCTTTTTATAGAACTAGTAACAAAATGGGGGGGTTTTAGTTTTGATTTGATTTAATTAACACTAAGATGAATGACTTAAATGAGTTTAATTAATGAGAAGAAGACTTGGCTTTGCTTTTATCCACTTAATGAAATGTTCGTCGATCCCGGTTATATCTTTAACTATCTTCCTCTCGAATACTCAATCGAGGAGTATATCCAGTTCATCGAGGGTAGTTATTAATAACGAGAAGCGTTCATTAATAAAACTTACTATCGAGTCAATATAGAACAAGCGCCGTATATTAAATTGATAGTAGCAATAAACTTAAGATGAAAACGATTGAGATTGATAACCTCAACACAAGCGGTTTATTGGTTTAATCAATATAATTAATTCCCCTTAGATTATTAACCATGAGATGCATGCATTAATAATCCAAGTTTACTACCATGAAAGGACCGAATTAATAACAAGCGTATTAATCGACCGATTCTAGTATTAATTAATATATGAAACAAAACTAGTTGATCCTTTAAGTAATGTTCAAAATATTAATATGAAATATGAATAGGAATTAATTAATACTCAAGAAAGAATATTAAAGAAGATGAATCCTACTAAAATTAATATCAAAATGTTAACTAATTGTCATCTTAGTAACACTCCCCAATATTAACGTAGAGGAAGAAATAATTATTACTATAACTAATGTCAAGATGTTAACTAATTGTCATCTTAGTAACACTCCCCAACATTGATATAGAAATAGTATTTAAAGGAAGAATTAATATTCAATGAAGAAGATTAAAGAGAATAACTCACAACTTACAAATTCATTAAGCTTTAAAGTAGCAAAACCAAGATGGAAGAGTTTAGCTCCTCATTTGGAGACTAAACATGATAGAAAATATAAAGAAAACACTAATCTAAACTGAGCTAAAGAGTATATGTGAATTGGTATCCTATTGTGAAGGAAAGGGGGTGTATTTATAGGCTTTTTGGGAGTGCAGCTCGGGTACTCGATCGAGTATATAAAGATACTCGGTCGAGTATGTGTAGAAATGCAAATTCGAGGTATACTCGATCGATTTCAGGTTTAAAATTAAAGGCATACTCGATCGAGTATGTATATATACTCGATCGAGTATGAGTAGAAACTTGAATTCGACCCATACTCGACCGAATTCAGAGTATAATTTATAGTCATACCCGATCGAGTATGTCGGTGTACTCGATCGAGTATCGACACTCGATCGTGGTCAAAATCTTCCCTGCATGTTCCTTTGTTTTCAGATCCGATCCGATTTGAAATCTCAACAAGATACTCGATCGAGTATATGCTATACTCGATCGAGTATAGGTCAAAAATCAGGATTTTGCCTTCTTTTTGTCTTGTACTCTTGCACCTTCCTTCACCAATGATCATTGGATTGATCTTGGACCTGTTTAAACTCAGAATGGACCTAATCTAAACATATTACAACTATTTTACAAACATGACTATTACACCAAAAGTGTGTAATTTCCGAAATATTAAACAATTAAAACT